TTTTGAGAAACTTTTTTTTTCGGAGATTAGTTCAGGAACTTATTGGTATAGTATCTTACTGTGGTCAAAAGGTGGCGTTACCAAAAATGTATATTTTTTCTGAATTTTAACGACAAAAATGGACACAGCTAAGTATTTTAAGGCAAATGAGTGTTTTTTAGTCATTTTTGAGAAACTTTTATTTTCGGAGATTTGTTCAGGAACTTATTGGTATAGTATCTTACTGTGGTCAAAAGGTGGCGTTACCAAAAATGTATATTTTTTCTGAATTTTAACGACAAAAATGGACACAGCTAAGTATTTTAAGGCAAATGAGTGTTTTTTAGTCATTTTTGAGAAACTTTTATTTTCGGAGATTTGTTCAGGAACTTATTGGTATAGTATCTTACTGTGGTCAAAAGGTGGCGTTACCAAAAATGTATATTTTTTCTGAATTTTAACGACAAAAATGGACACAGCTAAGTATTTTAAGGCAAATGAGTGTTTTTTAGTCATTTTTGAGAAACTTTTTTTTTCGGAGATTAGTTCAGGAACTTATTGGTATAGTATCTTACTGTGGTCAAAAGGTGGCGTTACCAAAAATGTATATTTTTTCTGAATTTTAACGACAAAAATGGACACAGCTAAGTATTTTAAGGCAAATGAGTGTTTTTTAGTCATTTTTGAGAAACTTTTTTTTTCGGAGATTAGTTCAGGAACTTATTGGTATAGTATCTTACTGTGGTCAAAAGGTGGCGTTACCAAAAATGTATATTTTTTCTGAATTTTAACGACAAAAATGGACACAGCTAAGTATTTTAAGGCAAATGAGTGTTTTTTAGTCATTTTTGAGAAACTTTTATTTTCGGAGATTAGTTCAGGAACTTATTGGTATAGTATTTTACTGTGATCAAAAGGTGGAGTTACCAAAAAAGTATATTTTTTCTGAATTTTAACGACAAAAATGGATATAGCTAAGTATTTTAAGGCAAATGAGTGTATTTTTAGTCATTTTTGAGAAACTTTTATCTTTGAAGACTTTTTTAGGAAATTATTATTATAGTCTGTTGCTTTTAATTGATGGTAGACGTACCAAATGTGCTATGTATTTTAAGGAATACAAGGGCATTTCGATTTATTTATAAATTAGAAAAACATAACTCAATGCTCAGCTATTTTTCTTTTCAGGTTATGACCACATAAGTTTTAAAAAAATAAAACGCATTGTATATTTTTAGAAAGACTGAAGAAGATGATTAAGTAAACAACAATTTTCTTTCTTTCCTTTAGAGTTTGAAGTAAACATCGTCATTGTTCTTCAAGATGATCACCTGATCACAGAGAACTTCCCCCTTAAGCTCTGCAGAGTCTGAACCTGGCCCAACGGTCTCAACTCAAAGTGGATCTTCACAGACTGCACACGCTGAAAACCACAAACAAAGGATATTACTGTTGTGTGTAACTCAAACGATGAAATGGTTACATATATGATGTGAAGGTGAGGTTTCTTACTTAACTTATGCCATTGTTCAAACCTTGATTCAAAACAGTGTCTTGGTGCCTTCTACACTTCCCATCTTAGGAGTAAAGATTTTGACAAAGACATTCTTGAATATGTAGCACTTTTAATTTTTTTTTAGTATGTGCACTGACATCTCCAGAACAAGAAAGTAAAAGAATGTAAAAAAAGAGAAAAAAAAAGTTAAGTTCAAATCGACGCATTATTGTTAAAATAATAATTTTGATAAAAGCAAACATTAAAGTCAATTGGGTGACGTGGACATTATGGAGCTGGACGTCTCCTGCCAGGGAGCTGAGGGAAATCATCAGGCAGCAGAGTGTGATCTCTGCAGGTGGGACAAGTGCTCTGCTCCTTTAGCCACGACCTGATGCACTAAACATAGAACAAGAACTAATTAACTAGCTAGAAGCCACGACAAAACCTCGGAAATCTAATTCAAACCACTGTTCATACCACTAAATGTTTTTCATCAAATATTTTTTGCTAACAGAATTTAAATAGTAACTCGAGGTAATGTTTCCGCTCACCTTGTCATGGAAGCTGTGTCTGCACTCCAGCACACACACGTCTTCTGGACTCATGTCTTCATGACAGATGATGCAGGGATCCTCCACGTTGAGCTGCATACACATAAAACCACAAAGAAAATGATTTGCTCATTCTGGTTTGCGTAGTTTCAACACTGAGCTCTTTTTGACCAAATTTTGTGTCATGCATGTGTCAACAATTCTTTTTCTTTAACTTACGGCACTCGGGTGTACAGTTCTCTGCGTTCCAACTTGCGGCCAGACTGAAGCCGCAGTCAGCAGCAGAGGAGTCGCTCTTGGACTTCCACGTCCAACGGCCTGGGATCTCGCAGCTCTGAGGTTCTCCTTTAAAAGGGACAAAGTAAGAACTTAGTTTGTGATGACGTGGTTCATCTTTTAATACAAAATATTAGGTCCAATGTTTTTAGAATTTGGCTCAGTTTTGTCAATTAAAGTCACACCTGATGGTCTAGGATCAACTGAGACACTCCACCAACCATGTCCTGTAACCCCATGCTGCTGAAGCTTCCACCACTGGAGGATCGCAGCTCCTGAATAAATCTCATCATGTCTGACCTATAAACGCACGCATTAAAGGATTATGTGTTAGAAGGGGAAAAAAGCACAATTTCTATGTAAACAAGTTATAATCACAAACACACACACACACACATTTTATCCATTGGAGAAAAAAACACTCTGACTTTATGTAAATGTTGCACTGTTTAAAGTTTGTCAAAGTGAAATCAGGAGTGAAGTCTTACCTAGAGTAGTCTGGGAAAATGGATGACAGCTGTTCCATGGCTTTTTCAAACACAGTGCTGTGTTGATGCTTCTGCTTCAGCTGAGGTGGAGCTGCTGCTGCTGTTCCGCCTGGAGCTGCAGCCACTGGCTGCTGGACGTTGGACACCTGTGGTGAGGACTGAGGATTGAAGCACATATTTATTTATTACTACTGCAAGTATTTGCAGATTAAAGAGCAAAACTGAGACTGGCTGTGTTACTACGAAGTCTTACCCGTTGTGCTGAAGGTTCAGTCTGGTTGGTGCTCAGAGGTAACTCACTGACATTTCTCCCATTCTTCACTTGATCAATCTGAGCCTTGAACTGGACCTGTCAATACAAAACATGATGTAACGGATTATTTCTTGAGCAAACTGAGGAGTTAACTTATTCACAAGGGAAATAAAAGAATTCCACGTGGCTGAGACAAAAAAAGCAGTTTTAAAAAGGCCTGAGGTGGAATAATTTTTTTTTAATCCAATCTCCCTGTTGAGACAAAAAGCATTTTCAAGCATCATCTGAATTTGAATTGTGGGTAATTCACCTAGAAAGAGAACCAACAAACTTTTTTGTGAATTAAGAATTAAATGCATAACAGAATTCATTTACCTCTGCATTGGCAATTTTCCTTTCAACTTCTTGAACGTTGGCATTCCAGGAGTTTCTGAACACCTGCAGGCCTGGGATTGATTGCCTGGGGAATTCAGGGACATAATACATTTCTGTGAAACACTGCTCACACAACTCAGTCCCAGCCATGGTTTCTCAATCTTCTTACCTGTGCATCGCTTCATCCACTTTGGTCAGCAGAGCCTTGGCATCTGCCAGTTCTCTGTGGAGACTGTATAAACCTTGCTCTCTGCTGCTCTCTGCTGTTGACACCTGGAGGAGAAATAGGCATGACCAACAGGTGCAAGGCTTCAAAAAGTTAATTTCAAATGAAGGCAGGTCTCGGATTTGTTTTGTACATTCAGCAGCTTCACCTGAGGCAGATAAAGCACCATAAAAGTCTTCCCATTACTGTGCCCTAAATAATAAACATCCTAAAGGGTCCCAACCTGCTGGGAGGCGCTGAGTTTATTATTAAGTCTTTTGGAAACACTATTAAAACAGAAGTTATTTTAATATAAATGTGTTGACAGACCAGTGGGAAGAATTGCTGCACTTATGGAAAGGCAGTGTTTGTCATTGTGTGTTCCTGAAGGTATTTAAATAACCAGGAAAATGTACCTGAGCTGTGTTAGATCTCCTGGCAGCTGAAGCACATTGACGTTTGCAGCGATTGATCTCCTCTTCTAGACTCATCCTCTCAGCTGCAGACTGATTACTAAAGAAACGGGTAGACAGTGATAATTACAAACACGTTTATCATCATCGTTGTCATCATGTCTCTGATCACTTACGTCAGCTCCAGAAAATCATTCATCTTTGTCTCGTAGAGTATTTTCTTCTCTCTGATGCCTTGTGTCAGACTATCCATAAATGAAAAAACAAATAAAAAAAAATTTAAATCATAAAGTGAGTGTGAGTTCAATGACATGATGTTTAGAATGATGTTTTCACAGCTGAAGGATTGAGAGGGGTAATTTCAAGGACAAGGTAAAACAAATTCAAAGATAAAAATAAGAAGAGCTCTCGCTCCCCCTAACCTCCTCTGCTGCTCCAACACCTGGTCTACCTCCAGCTTCAGGGCTTTTAGAAGGTCCTGGTTGGTTTTCTTCTCCTTCTGGTCCTTTTTCACATCTTCCTCCAGCCTCTGCTGTAGGTCCATCAGTTCTTTATTTATCACCTTGAGCAAAGCCAGTGACCGTTGTTAGATAAGGATGACTTTAGCCTGAGAGTTTTGAATCAACAATTGAAAAAAACTATCATCATACTTGGTCTTGAACCTTGAACCTACCTGTCCAGTGGCATTCAGGTTTTGTATGTCTCCCTCTATAGCAGCGATTTCTTCTTTGAGTTTAGTGTTGGCTTTGCTTTGACACCGGGTAATTTCCTGGATCTGCTGCTTCAAACGATGGCAAGTCTTCTGCTTTTTGTTAATGTCACCCTGGAAAGAAGCCAAAAACACAGCCAAAAAACACCTAATTACTGTACTTTTTGAGCATTGGTTCCCCTTCTGTAGATGAAACTATTGTTGAGACCTCCCATGTTGACACATTCAAAACTTAAAACAAGAACCACTAAAATTCTGTAAAAACTATTTCTTTCACAGGATAAATAAATTAAAAACTACAAATTAGTGCTTCCCTTTATTACAAACAGTCTCACTCAAACAGTGCTACGTACAGTTCATTACTAGTACCATTTCTTCTGAAGCCTTAGCATTAGTGCAGTTATAGATAAGCCCACTACAAATGTATTATTCATCTGCACTCACCTGACAGCTTTCCAAACTCTGGTGAGGCTCAGTATTCACTGCCACGCTGCTCATGGTCTCCTGGCACGTCTAAGAGAGTCAAGAAAAAGTGTCACATTGAAACTAAAACACTGTCCAAAAAGTAATCAAATGTACGTGGTAAAAAGACAAACACATAAGACCTCCACCTGTACTGCTGCATGTTTCCTCAACATGCCTTCACCGGCAGCTTCATCTGAAGAATCCGTTTCCAAAACTCCAGGAGCAGAATCGGTTCCAAGTACACACAGCTCACTTTGGTCTTTGAATGAGGAGTAGGGGAACTGCTGGTGACTGTCGCCATTATTCCACTTAGTAAAATAGTAAAAAGCATTTTTATTTAAATTCAAATCAAATCCAGAGGCGTCTTCACTGATGTAAGGATTTGGGAGAATGGGATGGATTTCAGTTTGTGTGTATGAAGGATGACTGATTGGCTCATGATCCAAAATTACGTCCAGGTCGTCTAAACCCAATCCAGGTCCAGCCTGCTGTAAAATCACAGCCTGCTTAGCCAGACCCACACAACTGCCCATCTTTATGAAGCGCAGAGATTCCAGGAGAAAGGATTCCAAACCACCAGCCTTCATGATCTTCTGCTGAGCCTCAGTTGGGAAATACTGCAGTTCACCAACCAGGAGAGGGTCTTCAGCAGCTAGAGGTCCGTGCTCTTCCAGAATCTGAGCAAAAAAGCTGCAGCAGTAGAAACAAAATTTAAAAGATCACAAAAAAAAATCAGAATTCTGCAAAAACAAAGACAGTGGAGAATGAAGCTGGAATGCAGTAGAGAGAAAAAAAAGTTTTAAACTTGAGGTTTTTTTTGTAATCTTTACTTACAGGACTTGCTAACCCTTCAACACAAGCACTTTATGTTGTTTTTTAATTTGTTAGCACATTAGAGTGTAAACTTAAAATTTGGTTATATTCCCTGCATTTAGTGCTGAATGTTTCTGTTGTTTTGACCTAAATCTGATATTTGGTCAAACTTTATAAGGAAATAAATCCGAAGAATGTTTAAAGAACACCTTGTAAAAACTATATTTTCCAGTCTTTGTTGAAAGGACGATTATTATTATTACTATGGAAAAGCTGTATTATTTTAATGTTGATTTGTTTTTAAGAACTGTCTCTGGGTTTTGATTACTGACATGCCCTTCAACACCTCATCAAATGACTGCAGAGAATCATGCATCGGTACCTGAAGACATGGCTGGTACTTACTCATACAAACCCTCTTTGGTTTTGTCAGGGTGATTGTCCAAAAATCTTTTAGAGAAACTCTGGTAACAGGTGCCGTTGTACTGCTGCTCAAAATCGGCCACTTGATCTTGAAGATGACTTGGAACACTGAATGGATCGACGGGGTGAAGGAGCGATCTGTGGACAAAAACGTTACTTCATATATTAATATACTGTATATGACAAAACAATAGGATACAGTCACGAGGCAGACGGTTCTTACAAATGGTCATCTTCAAAAAAGTCCTGGTCCCACTCTTCTCTTGGAGTTATCGTCCCTGCCAGTGGAAAACCATATAAACCCTGAGGGAGTGAAGGGGAGCAGAGGGGAAGAGGTGAGGTGAAGACATTTTTTTTCCCCACATTCAGTTTTGAAACTATTTGTCAAAATAAACTCTGACCTTTGTATCAGAACTTTTCTGTTTCTTTTTACGGTTTTTACTTTTGGTCTTTAAAGGAGAATTCTAAAAGGAAATAAAGCAAGAAAACACATTTATTAACATTTGATCCATTAGTATTTTGTTCAGCAAATGCACTTAATGACAACATTTGCAATACTCTATAAAAAATGTTTAATAAAGAACAACTTACATTTTGATTTTCATCAGACTTTTTTAAGACTGAACAATGTCCATCTGGAAATAAATCATTGGAAATTAAATAATCATCTACAGCAACACCAGCAGAACATAAACACTTCTTCTAGGTAGGCTCAGTGCACGTACCCATATCAAAATATTCATCCAGTATAGTATGACAGGCCACATAGTTGTCTCTATGCTCCTCCAAAGTCCAAATAAAAAGCCTCATGTGGTGCAGTGAAGCTTGTTGTAAATAATCAGTCACTGTTACACCAATAGTTGAAAAAATGTCTGAATTAACTTTGAGGTTCATTATAAACATGTCCTGCAAAGGACCAAAGTTGAGGAGGAGAGACAAGTCTAGTTCTTCCAGCTGCGCTGCGTAACGCTCAATAAAGTTTCTGGCGGCATCCAGACCTATGGAGTGAGGAAACAGTTAGACTTCTATGACATCATGATTGTGTTTCAGTCGACGGTTGTTCTTCAAACAGACCTGTATCGTTGAGCTGACACGCCCACTTGCTGACCTTGGGGTTTAAATCCTCCGAGTTACTGAGAAGATGGATCAAAACACGAGCCCATACACGGTTTTTCCTCTCCAACAGGAGCTCCACAGCCTGAGAGAACGTCTCAAGAGACTCATTCTGCCAGTTCAGCATTCTATCAGCCACCTGGTTCCCCCTCGACGAATCCAGCTCCAGCCACGGTTTCAGACTTTCTACCAGGACTGACACCTGAAGACTTTTTGTCTCCATCAGCAGATCCATCGTTTGACTGATCTGCAGTAAAACTGGATCTCTGTACCGCAACCAGGCTGAAAACAACAAGCAAACAAAACTAGATTTTGCCTAAAAGAATATCTTACACAAGGTGCATGGTTGTGGCAGTAACATTACATTTATGTTGAATCTGAGACGCTCCTTCTTGTGTCTGCTGTAGAGACTCATCATTAGTTGTTTGGTCTTCCTGAACAGATGGTTTCATCTGCTTTCTCTTCAGCTTGTGTTCGGCCTTTGATTTTAATGCCTTTAAACTAAAACAAACAAACAAAAAGAACCAGTGACCAAGATCATTGGGTTGGATTGTTTTCTCACATCACTGATGACAATAGAGCTAAGATGTTGTAATTAGGAAAATCTATCGGTCCGAGTTTGGTAGCTACAGTTGGTCATCAGTACAAACCGCAGCCTCACCTTGAACATTTCTGATTAACTCTCAGCTTTTTAGTAGTCTGTGGTTTCAGGACTGTGTCTTTAAACTGAATAGAAACAGAAAACAAAGTCACCAAAAAACTGCCTGTTCATGAAAACGGTGACTGAGCAAAACATTTCTCAGGCACTAACAAAACCTGGCCTTACCTCACACTTCAACAGGCCTGTTGGACTTATGATTTGAACACTGCAGATCCGACCAACACAGTCTGGAGTTAAACATGTTTCATGCAAGAAATCCTGCAGACAAAAAAAAAACCCATGAAACTCCAATGTAATTACCAACCATCTTTGTGCAATATATAAAAACACACTTCAAAAACCAACTGAACTTGCATATTTTACCTTGTCATTCTTTTCAAAGAAGGTCAACGTCCTCAGGGTCTTCCAACAGGTGACGTGATATTCAACAGAACATCTCTGACAGCAACTTATTCTTATGTAGCCCTAGATAAAACAAATTCAGTTCCAATTTATCATTTTGTTTGTATAAAGTCCAAAACAAGCTTGAGTTTAGCTGACATTTACCTTAAAATCAGGGTCAGTTAAATAGATTTCAACTTTTGAAGAGGTGTTGCATTTTTCAAATCGACACACAGCATCAGGAACGGGAGGAAATCTGCATAATTCTATAAAACTTTCCAAACGTTCCTGAAAGAATAAAAAGGATGAAAAACTTTGAGCTCAGTTAGAATCCTAAAGCAAAGAAAAAATTATTTAAAAAAAATCAAGACTCAAGAACACACATGGGTCAGGGAATATCTGTACCTTTAACTAGCAGATTTTACCTGCTCTAATTGGAAAAAAGGATTAATACTATACTGTATTTGTAAAGATTTTTCATAATGGAAAAATGCTGTAAAAGCCTGCATAGATGAAACAATACATTAAATTGGTCTACGTTTAAGAAATGTTGTACAAATGAGTGTCTAACAAACCAACAATTAACCAAAAACATACCTTTAAATAGTCTTGTTGTGTTTCTTTGACGATCTCTTTGGATAAAGGCCAGGTGAGCTTTCCAGGAAATATCTGATTTTTCAGCATCTGCAGTGAGTCGGAAAGCTGCTCCAGAGCAACAGCAAATCTAAAAGGAAGTGGACAGTGCACAGTGTAGAACTTGTAGATGCTGTGAATCTTCAGCTGTGATATTAGAGATTCCGAGACCTGTTTTCTTTGAGATACACCTTCCCGAAGGCATAGTAAACCAGACACTGGAATGTTCTTTCCTCAGATGACTTGATCTTTTCTATAACTTTCTTGGCTTCTGAAAGTTCCTGCAATTCACATGGCAAACATAAATGTAACAGAAGTAGCACAGGAATGACTACAAGGCTTTCAAAAGCAGTTAATTGTAATCTTATGGCACTATATGGCTATTATCTACTGTGAATAGCTTTTAATGAAAACATACATTAGACTTGTGCAAGGCAAAGATGGCTTTTAAACTTCAGCTAAGCGAGTTCTACAACTAGCTGAAATAAGATTCCTTTGTTTGTCACTTGTGACAGTGACATTGCAATTGCAAACAGCAATACAAAAAAATAAAACAAAACAAATAGCAGCTCTGAATAAAAGTTATGAAAAACTAAGATAAACATTAGAATAAGACAGAAATAAATAAGAAATAAAATGGGGCTGGGTTAACAAACAGGCTGCGCTGCAACTAATGAAAAAATTGTAATGACAGTTCATTCACGGTTAATATATTAATCTATAAGTTACCTGAAGTTGACCAATTTCTGTGAGAGCAGATGCCCGACCAAACAGGAGCAACAGGACATCCAGAGAGGAAAGTCCAAGTTTCTGAGAAGGTAAAAGTCAACTTGTCACTAAAATAGTCATATTACAATAGTGATAATAAAAAGACACATTATTTAACGCCTAAGAGCACTACCTTGGGTGTGTTGGTCTCCAGTATGGCCAGTGCCTTACTGAAGGCCTGCTCCGCATTGCGGCTGCAGAGGTTGGTCAGAGCAGTGTAGGCGTCCTCCACCACAGACTTCAACTCTTTACAGAAACTTGCTCTGTTGCCTGGAGTTTTCTGTTAATATGGACATATCAGAGAAGGTCAGCTTCCATACACTGATGACTTTCTAACATTTCTCACACTACGATTATTTTGTAAGGAGCAGCAACTTGATGATCCGTAATCTTTTTAAACACATGATCCTGATGTAGATCATTTCATTTGTCTGACTTTAGAGTTCCCCTTCAGTCAACGTGGGGGTAAGATCTTTGAGTACATGAACCTTGTATATAATTATCAGTCATAAACTCCATATACTGCAGGACTATACCACAGTTTTCTGGGGTAAGACTGGATTTTAGACTGTACTGATTTAAAAATTAAATACCAAATATCAAATACCATCTGAAGACAGTGTTACCTCCTCCTTGGGTTGAACATTTTTATCCATTTTCTTTTTCACTGTGGTGCTGGACTCCACTTCACCATTCTTTAAAGGGACTTCACTGGAGAAACAGAATCCAAATCAAATACAGACTCCAAACTGCAGACATTATAGGAACTGTCCAGGTGTATGAATCCACACTTATGCTTCAATCATTTCTACACATAGGAAAAATTAAAAAGAATACATTTATAAACCAACCTTTTTGAAGATTTAGAATCCTTCTTATTGTTCATTTTTGCAGCCTGTTCTTTTTTATCTGCAGATACAAATTTGGGCATCACTCTGTTAGTGATATGAACAGCTGGACTGGAGAGCAATCACAGTGTTCTCTTAAAAAGAAAGAATAACTGAGAGCAGAGGTTAGCGATCATGGTTAACACTGTGTCATGGCAACTCACTGCTGAAGGTCAACATCTCTGGAAACCAACAGTAATACAAAACACTAACATTATGATAGTCAAATAAATTTGGGCCTTATTATTTACAATGTATTGTCTATGATATTCTGTCTGTGTGGAATCTGCAGTAGGAATGTTCACTTCACACTCTCAGTATGTATATAATTAGTATAAAAATATTTTTTTATTATTTTTCTAATATTTTTTATTATTTAATTATTATAATTGATATCAGTACTTTCCGTGGGAATTCCGTCTTAGTAATTGTATGTCAATCAAAAATGAAAGGTTTGACCGATCTTAATGGAGAAATTAGAGTTCTATCTGCACACAATTTTTTATAATGAACTCACCTGAAGGCTTGTTCATTTTCGCCTCAGAGTCCTGTCAACAAAAAGAGTTCATTAATGACGATGATTTGAAAGGGCAGGCAGTTGCCTTTTAGACTTGCTTTAAACAAACTCTGGCACATTCTACCTGAAACTTGGGGATAATTTAATGACTAAATTGCAGTAAGAAATATTCCACAAAGTGAAAACTCTAGTCAAACTGCTGATTTTTTTTCAGCAGAGCACTGCTAATGACAACAGTTACTCACCTGACTTTGTTGAGTCAGGCTTTTTTTAATTCCACGTTTTTGTTGCTGTGAATTCGTTTCCTCTGCTCTGTTTATACTGGTAGGTCTGAAAGAAAAATGAATGATGTAAGGAATTCTTTTTGTCAGTTTATTAATCACACTGTCACACAGTATATGGATGAGAACAAACCTTTTATTCTTGGTCTTTGGTTTACAACCTGAGAACAAACAGATGAGTCAGTTTTGGTGCAGTATTTAAAAACATCAATTTTTAGTTCGATGATTTGAAAAAGCACACAAAAACAATTGATGTTATAGAGTTGAATTTTAAAAGGTTACCCATGTGTTCTTCCAGCATGCCGATGATTTTGAGTTTTTGCTGTTCTAAGTCTTTGAGTCCTGCGTGGTCATTCCTACAAAGTTTTTGTGCCAAATCATTGGCTTCAATAGCTTTTTTGACCTCGCCCAAAAACAACAAAGCCTCACAATAGCGGTAGTGGCCCTGTTACAAAAACACACACACACACACAGAAAAACATGCTTGTATAATGTTTGAATGCCAGGAGCGACTTAACGTTTATTTAATAGTACAAGGGAACAGGTTCTTTCTAAGAACAGGTTCCAGACACAACTTCAGTCACATAAAAACACAACAGTACCTTTGCCCAGGATGGTTCTATCAGCGTGGCTCTCTTCCCATCACCAATCGCCTTTCTGGAAAAATAAAGTTAACATTTCAGTAGAAAACATTTCAATGTCTGTGTGTTTTTTTCACAGCCAACTACATCTAAATAAGTCAATGTTAATTTCAGGAATAACATTGACACTAATGTTGCCTAAGTATTATCTCCAAACATTAGATGTCTAAGTAAAACAGCCACCCCACCTAACAATGATGGTGATGGAAAGTGCTTCAGAAAAACCAATACTTACAAATACTTTTCACATCGGATATAACACAGGGCTCTGTTTCCATATGTAATGTGGTTTTCAGGACTAGAAAGAGAAATAAAACCATGTTGTAAAGTTGGTGCATTTATTTTAAGACAGCAACACAACCAAACGATGCTGTGGTAAACATGTTTTTGCTTTTTAAAGAACAAATCACACATTAAATAGGATTTAAGAAATTCAATTCTGTAAAACAGTTCTTACTAGTACTTGATGGCTCTGGAATAAAACTTTACAGCATCTTCATACTGATTATTCTTAAATTTTAGGTTTCCCATTTTCTTCAATTCCTCGCTTTTCTGAATGTGGAACCAAAAAAAAAAAAAAAAGAAAGAAAATAGATTTTTCAGTAATAGGAAGCCAAGGGTTTGAAACAATGACAGTGAACAATTTATATTTCCTATACATAAATACACTAATATACAATATGCAGGGCATGTTTCTCATCTTGCCTCTATTATATCTTCTGATGGTCGGACCATAAGTTCATTCATTGTCCTCTCCAAGTTCATGCCCATCCTTCGAACATACCTAGCATCTGAGTGACAGAGGGGTAGAAAAGAGATCTACGTCAAAATGTTTTTATAATAAATAAATTAATAAATTGTGTGTGATTTTTTTTTATTTGAAATCTAGTGTGATTGTTTCTTACATTCAGTGAAGATGACCTGCAGAGTTATGAATGCAAATGGGCCAAACTCCTCTAAAAGCTGGTAGATAGTTGGCTCTCCGGCTCTTTCCAACCACTGTAAGGCAACTGGGAACACGTCTGGTGAATTCTGACAGAGCAAAGTCAAACCAGCAGATTTAATTCTACTATACTGCACTACAAGTACTGTAGACACCCTGGTAGTTTTCCATTATTTATAGACTTACCAAGTTGAACATTTCAATTAACCTGAAGAATTGTTTTAAAAAGTTTCTCTTTCTCTGAAACACACAACACATCACAAAAACAATCACTACTGCACAGCTACCGTGTGGGTTAACAAATGAAGAATGAGTCCAAAAAAGACTTCAGTTAGCAACATTTTCTGTTTGAGTTGAGTTTTATATAACCATTATACTCAACCTTTACAATATAAACTTACAATTCCTGCCTCTACAGTTTTGAAGATTTCTTCTAGGATTTCTATCCTTCTTATGTTCTTTAAACATAGATTGTCATTATCCCTGGAAAACAAACACAACAATGCTAATTGCTGATCAAGTGTATTACATTTTAGGGGGGGGAAATATTTAGTTTTGTGACATAATAACACTTACAGCTCATCAATGACACCTATATCTACAGCCCAGGTTACAACAGGATTAGACTCGTCTTGGTGCAATAGAATGGGAAGCCAGAAGGTAAACATTTTCATCTTCTGTCCAGCCACTTTTTTGGTCTCTGAAGGGATAGCCATCCATTGATCCAAAACTTCTTCTAAAATGTTGAAAGCATACCAATGTTATACCCTGATCTGTTTTTGTCAAATACAGAACAAATATATTTCTAAAATTTTAATACCAGATCAGTTTCACATAATACATACATACAGACATAAATCGAGAAGACTACTGGTTAAACTTGTTTAGCTTACCGAGTGGACGGATGGTCTGACGGTTGAAAAGAGAAAAAGAGTGTGTGAGGCTTAAACATAATAGCAGCAATAATACATAATACACATTCTAAGATAGTTTAAATAACCCACCATATATCCATGCATTCCTTCTGCACAGACAGGTTGAAAGTCTAAATATGACATTCTGCTCAAACCTGAAAGAAATGTATTAAAAAATATATATTATGTAAAAAAAAACAGACAGTGCACAGCTACAGGAAACCAACTCTAATAACAAACATTGTTTATGACAGATGTTACCTATTTAATCTGAGAACTGGTTGATTCTATTAATAAATTTGATTCTAAATTTGATGATTGAAACTTTGTCATAAAATAATGTTCCTCCTCAGCACTTGTACAAAGCAGTCTGTTCCTCATTAATCCTGTCTGCCCTTGTCATACAAAATTAAAGTAAAAGAAACTTGGCTACTTCCTGATAACCGTCATTATGCAGCATTTATTTCTCATTGTTTTGTACACCATACATTAGTAAAAGAAGAACCAGCATTTTCCTTGGTTTCAACATACATATTATCATATCGCACAGTTTCACGTATTCAATAGAACATTTATAAATGATCCACCTCAAAGATGAGGGGCTTAAAATAAATATGGTAAAAATCGAATGTATAGACCAATATACAAGAGATCAAAGTAGAAATCACTACACGTTCGAATTAAATACAGTGAAACTTACCTTAACTTACGACAACGTGTGTTAAACGGTATTAGACACATTATAGCGAGCAAACAACTAAGCAAAAGTAAAGTAATCCCACATATGACGTTTTTTATTTCGATTTTTTGAAAACCCAAACAAATTTTAAGGAATGGCGTAGATTACGACGTGCAACTCTGTTAGCATGTTAGCATCACGGCTAACACACGTTCTATTGTTCTATCATACGTAAACACCTTACAGCAAAATATTCGGTCGTCTTATTATCCGTTTACACGTCTTAATGAAATGTAAAGAGTGATATTCAATAGTCTTTTCATAACACTGCAACGTAATTTGGTTTTAATTAACGTGGCGATACTTTTGACCTACTTGTTTAAAAGCATACGTAGCAGCCCACAACGGTTTAGCTCCTCGTTAAAAAACCATGATTTACCGACAAAATACTCACAATGAGCCAAACAGCAGCTACGGATTCTACAGTAAACTACTTCTCCAGCACTTACCACTTTACGGAAGTCTAAACAGATTCGTGTTGTCGCCAAACGTAAGGGGCGGTGCCTTCCTCCAAGTCCATCCGTGTCAGCTATAAAATGAGACTTCACAAGAAATGTAACCGAAACTCAACTCAAAACATAACATAACATAATTTGAGGTACTACATCACTTTGCAGTACTACATTCTCATTATTTTGCTATTATTTTTGTAAATCTACACATTTTATACAAAATATAATGTAGCATAAAATTATGAACTTTTTTTAATAACATTTGGGGGTTATTTATTGAAAAATAGCAAGTTAACATGTTTTAAGCATTTCAATGATTTACTTTCACCTAGAGCAATTGTTAGTTAAAAAGCTGTACATGTTAAGCAAATATAGCCTACCTCATATGACAATAAGAACATAAATGTATCATTTATGTCACTCGATGCCAGGAAAACTATAGGATATGCCATAATAAAATGTATTTAATTGTTCCCTGTCAATTTGTCTTTAACTCAAAGTCACCCCTCTGTCTGAGAAGACGGTGAAAAACTCTGTCAGGGGCCCGGAATATGTTTCTGTTGCGCTGCAGGTCTTGGGCACTCATTATTCTCGTCACCAGTGCTTCTTGTATGGCTGGAGACTCACAAGGGTGATGTTGCACATTGTGGCTGACATTTCTCCATGGCTCAATAACTAAAAGGCCCAGAAGGTGAGCTCCCTTGTCCCTGTTAAACATAGTCAAATTAGTCAGCTTTTCTCTGCTTTCAATGCTTGTGTTTCTTCTGTTGCTTCCTTTAGCTTTGGTGACATCAAACATCCGCTCAAATCCTTGGGTTTTACATTTTCTTCTTATGTCAACATCTGAAGAAGTTGTAGTCATCTCATTTGAGCTAGCTCTGAGAAAACTTACATTTGCCCGGCTATTATTGAAAAGGTTTTGACCTAAGCAAGTTGCATTAGTTGTGTTGGATGTATTAGTGTGTCTTGTTTGAGCAGAACTCCTGGTTTGGAGTTGTTGAGGATTTGAAGGTGCAGTTTCTTGGGTGTTTCTTCGTAGATAGGCTGTGTAGTCTTGAATCAGGCGATTTAAGGCTGTCTTATAGGACAGACGTAAAGATGCTGCAGATCCCCAGGGCACAGAGTGCAGCCTCACCTGTTTAACACAACAAATGTCAGGCGACCTAAACACATTCAAGTCCGCAATTGAACCTCCTTGTTCAACAATTTAGTGTTGATACTATAGGTCAAAGTTCAATTTTTTTCAATATTTTTTTCAGCATAAATTTCATTTCAGAGATTAAATATAAATATTATACAGTAGATGCCCTACAGTAAGTAGCTGACTTCAGGAATGTCAGATAAGAGTATAGTAGCGCATACTGTAGTGTCTGTCTCCACTCATATCTTTTCTTTTTTGTTTGTTTGTTATTACAAAATACAACCACCATTTACAAAATCGTGAATTCTTTAAAGAAGATCTGAGTTAAGTGACTGAGATAATCCTACCTGATGGATCCTAATGTGCAAATGAATTGCAGCTCCTGTCAGCCACTGCTGCATGGACAACGAACTCATTCGTTTCTTTGTGGTCATCCTTTCAAAATGGTCAATTAATTCAAGTTTGAGCCAGTTGTCAAACAACTCTGTCGTCTCAGCCATCTTCTCCTCATAGTTTGCAATGCCAGGAACAATCCTAAGGTAGCTATCAATTATCTGTCCAATTCTGGAAGAAGTACTGATGCCAAAAATGGCCTTTGCTTCAGATTTGTCAGTGGACTGCTCCGTCACTGATAAACCTTGGGCTTGAACCTAGTTCAGATTGAAGGAAATAATAACAATAATTCAGTAAAACAAATTAAGAAATGTGTCTGTTTTTAAAACAGTTGAAATACTCTCAGTTGGCGCCGCTTAGATCAGCAAATACTTTACCAAAAACTGCATGTGCAGAGCTTTCCAAGCACCATAGAGACTACCATTCAATAACAATATTAAGAAGACCTTTAACTTACTTGTTGGGAAACTTGATCAAAAAGCAGGAACAAAGCCAGAGCGACTATCCCTACTCCTCCATAGGTGACCCTGCTTCCCCCCAGCTCTTGAGTCAGATTTAGGTTAAATAATGTCTGCTGCTCTCTGCTCATGCTCCGCTGTAAGAACCTGTAGTGATGCTGCAGCGCTGCCGATGAATCCAAAGACAAGAAACTGGTGAGAACAGGATCCAAAGAAATATCAGGAATAATACTGGCATCTCGAGCAACAGAGAACAGCTCCTGTACAGTAGCTGGAGAAGGAAGACACAAACTGTGCCCCATCACAATCATGACTATATCAACCCCTGTTACCACTCTGCAAATGTCTGTGTGAAACCTCTGCCTCTTATCTCTCTTCCTGACCCTTTGCTTTATTTAACTTTTGCTGATAAGACAGTTTTGACAAAAAAAACTCCATTCATAATATTCAGAGTTAAACTATGAGTTTTCCAGTTTTCCACTAAATTTATCTACCAAACAAACTGTGTCTAAGGTACATTTGTATCACAGGAGGATACAGCAGGAAAACTCAAGTCAATATTAAGTACTTAAGTTTAAAAACTACAATATATATGAAAGGTAGTTCCACAAAAATGTCCTTGAGAGAATAAATACAGATCGATCAAGGTGCCTAACAATCACTTTGTCAGCCAAACCTAATAAAACTTGCTTTCTACATAATTTTAGACTCAGCACAGTGTGTGAATGAACTCAGAATACATGATGAATAAAACAGGCTTTTAGACCCAGGCACAACTGTTAAAAATTAACCCAAATGTCAATAGGCAAGAGGCAAGCTCATAAAAAAACACATTTACATTGCTCGTCAGGCAACAGAGATTCTATTTAGAAATACTGGGATACATTGAAAAAAGAGTTCATATGTAATTCTTATTCAAGGCCCTGTCTAATAAATAGTAGCTGTAATGGTGTAACTACATTTAATTACTAAACACAAACAATCTATTATATATAATACGATGATTAACTCTCTCTTGTTCTCCAGTTCAACCAACGGAGATCAAATCAACCTGGCTTTTGTCTGTAAAGAAAAAGCCTCAAGAAAAAACATTGTATATTTCACAGAATATTTACTTCTGGTCAACTGTTGGGTGAGAATGGGTCAGTATAATTTAAGAAACACGATCTAAAAAATAAAGCATATAGGTAGATAGACAGACAGATAGATAGATAGATAGATAGATAGAGTGCATTTTTGTAATAATACTGTCTAGCTTTAATATCCAATCGTTATATTCCGTTTACACTCGGCTTTATCCGCTGATCACATGACAAATGCTTTGCGGTTAGCCAGTTAGCCAGCGACATGGACCAATCCCTGAAAAATAGTCCTTAGCCAAGAAGAGGATCAACTTCAATGTAAGAATTTATCGACTTAACACAGTACCTACATTTTCTTACAGGTTTTCCACGTTGTAGACATTTTTCAACGAAATCGCTTTAACATGTAAATAATGACTTATTAAGCGTCGCCTTGGGTAACTGACGTGAATGACCTTACCTTGATATTTTGGCTGTAATTCTGAGGAGAGGTGAGGTCTTCTCCCGCTTTACTGCAGTCCAAACAGAACAGGTGAGCACAATAAACATGCTTCTGCGACATTAAAGATTACAGAGTTAGCATTGTTTTACTTCTTCATAACTTCTTTGAATGCCAAGCAATTAATACAGTGCTATACGTTTGAGCTAACCTATCCACAGGCTGTCAAGTGATTTTGAGCCGCAGTAATGCGTTATATTAAGTCATTATTACGGTTTTCTTCAAAATACACTATAGAGTTGTACACGTAGGGCATCGAAGTGTTGTTATCATACAGATACACTTAAAACATTTGAGAACAATGACAATGTTTAATTGAAAACTTATTTGGAAGGAACGATCGCAGCTTGTGTCAATATAAACGCAGAAAGAATGGAGGCCAGATTCGATCACATATCAGGACAGGACAGAGTTGACCCTTGTTATTGTAAAGATTGGTGATCCTGATGTTTTCGTTCACACCATTTGGTTTTTATTTATTTAGATCCGTCTGATTATTTATTTACAACACGTTTACTTGATTTCTAAACCGTGCAACTAGAGAGCTATCGTCGTCAGATAAGCAGCAGTGTTTAACTATTAATGTTGGAACAGTGATACCTCAAAGTGTCTTCCTTTGAAAATTAATTCATCATTATTTTATCCAAATATTTTTGTAATAAATAGTGTGATGAATTAGATGTCTTAAATGTGAGAACAACATGGACGTTAAAACCAGTCTTCAATAAAAACGAAAATGTTCATTCATTTGAAATTGTACTTTGAATTTTGTTAGTAATGCCGTTATGCCTTGCAGTGCATGTAAACAATGAATAAATCCCATGCCAAAATTTTCTCCCAGTTAACTTTGAAAAATGAGTCAGCGGACTGAGCGACGGGGGATACACGTTGACCAATCAGACCTTCTGTGCAAGAAGGGATGTGGTTACTATGGCAATACAGCATGGCAAGGTTTGTGCTCCAAGTGCTGGAGAGAGGAGTACCAGCGGGTCCGGCAAAAACAGATCCAGGACGATTGGGCATTGGCAGAAAAGTAAGTTTAAATCTTAAATCTTATCTGTCATGTGACATTAAAATGTAAAGCTGCCGTTTCTATACAGTGCCTCCTATCCCATACTACTACTAAATATACTGAGGTTCTTACCATAGAATTGCTTTGTCTAACATGAACATTTTTGAGTTAAACTGAAGAGATCTGTCTGTTTTGCTTTTAAATGTCCTAGAATAAGAAAAAAGTAATTCTAAAATCTTAGCTTCTTTTAATGATTAAAGTATTTATTGTTGTTCACACACGTTATAAGAAGGATTGTGTCATCAGTTTCTTGTGTTGAAATAACTCATTTCACAACAAGAAACTGATAATATGTTTTTCTTTTTGGCCATAGGTTGCAGCGTGAGGAGGAGGCAGCATATGCAAGCAGTCACGGAGTACAGACTCAGTCCCATGGCCAGTCCCCGGCACAACACTCAGGCCACACCTCTCTAGGGCCCTTCTCCAAGTTTGAGGAGAAGAAAACTAATGAGAAGACTCGCAAAGTGACCACTGTGAAGAAATTCTTCAGCCCTTCATCACGCACTCCTCCCAAAAAAGGTATGACATCGTTACAAGTACAATGCATAGTGGGGAAGTATGTGCTGTAGATCTTTGAGGAGGACCATGGTCTTACATTTTTTTCTTTATTCATCTCTTGCTGATTCCCATCAGAAACCCAAGATAGCAAAACGCCCAGTCCATCTATCAGCCGCCATGCCAGCTTTGACACAGACCAAGTGTCCAAGGACTTTGTGGAATTCTTAAAGAACCTGCAGAAACCTGGCAGGGAGATACATAAGCAGTGTCGAGCGTTCTTAGTCAACATGTCAAGCAAGAAGGTAAGTTCACATCCCAAAATCAAAGTCTGGGGGACACTAATGATTTTAGAAAAGAGAGTCAAGATGCATGTACTGGTCAGTGTGACATTACCATCTCGTTTTGGCAGGACATCAGTGCTGAAGAACTCTCAGAGTGTGTTCAGGATTTCTACCAGAACATGGTTGACCGCCTGATGACTCACTTTAAAGGTCAGATTATAAAAAGTAATTAAGTAGAAGTGCAACGATGCTGTACTCAATTTGTATTTTGTCATGAACATAGCACACACCAGGTGGCAGTATAGAGGAGTGTATTAACAGACACCACCACTCTGACCAATGTATTGTAATGAACTATTGTTTCCTAGGCTCTTCAGAGTCTGTAGAGCAAGTGATGGACCAGGTGGAGAAGTACATCATGACTCGACTGTACAAGAGTGTGTTCTGTCCAGAAACTACTGATGACGAGAAAAAGGATTTGGCCACGCAGAAAAGAATCAGGTGAGCCATCCTTCAGCGTAAAGTACTGTTACATCATCACTGAATTTATCTCTATGCTACAGTGATCATGGTTTTGTTTTTGTTTGTGTTGTAGAGCTTTACACTGGGTGACCATTCAGATGCTGTGTGTATCTATGGATGAGGAAATCCCTGAAGTCTCAGAGAATGTGGTCAAAGCAATAACAGGTCATAGAGAGGGTCTGAGTGGCACTAATTTGTAACACTTTCTCTGTGATCTTCCGCTCAAGCATTGTGCCGTTTTTTAGTCTTATTACAGTCTGTTTTTTGCTTAAGGCTTTAAAATAAATGAATGTCTGCTACCTCTAGATCTGTGGAAAATAGGTTCACACATCGCAGATTAGACCAGTCAGCTCCATATGTTGTGGCAATGCTGTAGGTTACCTAGAGAGAGGTAAAGAGCAAGATAAATAGTGACACTGCATCAACACAGCCCTTTGACAAGTATCAAAATGTCCACAACCACTATAAAAACTATTCTTCGCACCTGCATTTAAGTTGCTTTTCTATCTTCATTTCTGGTTGGCAGATATCATTGAGATGGACTCCAAGAGGGTTCCCCGGGACAAACTTGCGTGCATCACACGCTGCAGCAAGCACATCTTCAGCGCTATCAAGATCACCAAGAATGAGCCGGCCTCTGCTGACGACTTCCTGCCTGCACTCATTTACATTGTACTGAAGGCAAACCCTCCTCGGCTTCAGTCCAACATCCAGTACATCACTCGCTTCTGCAACCCCAGCAGGCTGATGACCGGAGAGGATGGATACTACTTCACTAACCTGGTGGGAAATTCAGATTACAGTACATGCCGATGCGTTAGTCATGTGTTAAAATCGTTTTTTGTTTTCTAATATTGTAAATAAAAGTAATTGATAAAATACACTTAGTTCAGACAAGTGCAGAGCCAGAAAAGAAAAAAACATTTAGTTCCTGTCATTGTGCCTTTCTTTTAGTGTTGTGCTGCAGCCTTCATTGAGAAATTAGACGCCCAGTCTCTCAACCTCTCCCCAGAGGAATTTGAACGGTACATGTCGGGCCAGGCTTCTCCGCGATTCAACAGCTCAGAGGGCGACTGGACTTCATCCGGGGCTGCATCTGAATCTACCTCCATCAACCCGGTGCTAGTTCAGCTAAATCAAAACCTAGAGCTGCTGTCCAGCCTCAGCAGCAGGCAGGAGCGGCTGGTGGAGGCAGCTCACAGCCTCCAGGCTGATCTTCTCTCCTGGACTGAGAGTGTGAAAAAAGAGGTGAACGACATCCTGGAAAAATACCCACTGGAGATTCAGACCTGCTCTGTTTCTGCCATTGATGCCAACAACGTGGACAATGAAAACCTGCCACCGCCTCTAACACCACAGGTGTTTGCTGGGTAGTGGAATCAAAAGGGTTTTTTCCCCCCTAATTGGACAAAACAAAGGAAGACAACAAACAAAGGGAACCGTTCACATTAAGGCAAAGGTAATTCTCCCAACTGTCCTTCAAACCTCAACAGTAAACCATATGTAAACACTCCACAGAGCTAATTCAGTTGCCAGCTACAGTAAGACAATAGATATTTTAACAATGTTAAATTCATTGTTCAACATTACATATGTACCACGGACCTCACCTAACAGTCGTTGAGCTCCTACTGGATGATCCAGTTATTAGTCATACACAGTGTCCAATACTTCAAAGTAAGATGTAGCTCTAATCTTTTTATATTTATTGATGAGTTATATTGTTGCAGTGCAGCTTGGACCGAGTGTCTGTTATACAAACACTAGCATCTCACATTTTCAGTCAATAACATTTCAATAAACTCATAGGAATTAATTAAAGATTAATGAGGGGGGAAAAAATCTGTGAACCTGTAGTTTCAAGATTATTAGAGAAGAGAAACAATTCCCACCATTCATTTTGGACCGAAGTCAGAATTCTGTTTTAATTAGCCAAAGGTCAGTTAAAGAAGTTCTCTCAGAATTCTTTCTAAAAAATACATTTAATAAATATAATACAGTTCTCTATTTTTTCCCTCAGAATTCTGACATTGAATCAGAAAACTGTGCACAGTACTTATGAAATATTAACAAAGTACTGCAGCCATGGTCGCTGATTATCTCTGCATCTTAGTAGAAACACCAGTTTCAAGCAGTTAAAAAAAAACAATTTTTTTTTCATTTCACATGACATTAGATTTCCATTTGGACTAACGTTAGAAAATACTACTTTTCAACATTTGAAATGTATACATTTCAAGCTGAAAAGAACAGTAACGATGATTATATATTCTTTAATTCACATCGTGACTGATTTGAACATTGATGTGAAGCTATTTTAGGAAAATTAAAAAAAGAAAAAACACTGGTACGAGTCTTTCAGACGTTGGCTTTTAAACATTTCAATTTAACTCCTGTTAATGTCTTAATGTTTGGATTTTTAAAAACACACTAACATTTGAACAACAACTATCTTTTTAGCTTCTGCGTATTATTACTGCAGTTTGTTTTTATGCTTCTCCTAAGATGATGTATTTTATTCATTTTGTTTGTGATTTTGTGATGTGCAACAACATGATAATGTTGGTGAGAGACTTACTGTCTGATTTCATCAAAGCCTATTAAAATGTTTTGGTGTGGTTAAGCTAAATCCAGATCATCAAGACTTTGTTTGCAACATCATTGAATGGATTAATGTTCAGAATCTGTTCAAGTCGTCTCAGCAACTGAGTTACAGTGTGGTTTTGTTTAAAAGATGAACATTGTTTTCAAAACCTTACAGTAGTCTTTCATTTGAGTTTTCACATCCCTGTAATATTTGCTAGAAGCCACAGTGTGTATATCAACAGTGTGTATTTCTTACCTGTCACGTAAGAAAATCTCAAAACAGCATATTCCAACATGTTCCCTGTAATAAAATCTACCAAAGTTAATGTTAGTGTCAATGGTTTTCTTGTAACACACAAACATATATACAACACATTTACACAAATATATATATATATATGGTATATACATATATATAGTCGTGTATATTCATGCATGCATAAATATAAACGACTCTTTTCGTCACAAACACCCCCGTAAAGAAATCAACCCATCGTTATTTGCAATTTACTGTTTATTTGTGTTCGTTATTTTGATGCCGCGCAAGATTTACCGAGACTGGTGTAGGGACAAGTCCTCTCCACTAGAGGTCTCTATTGTGCAAAAGTGACTTATGTAGTTTTAAAGGGCCATTGTGTAATGCCATTGCGCTGCAAACAGCAATTCATGGCTTTTCCAGGAATGGGGAGGAATTTAGTCATTGGTCTAAACTAGAGTTTGCATCCATGGTGATGTCAGTTTCTTCTGTTAACATTGTCATCATACAGTATGTACATAATACAAGATAAATTAACTGATAAAGTTTCTACATGCTTATATAATTCTGAAAAAAAGTGTTTTTTTACATACAGTAAGGCATAGAATATATACTGTACTAACCTAAAGGAATCAGTATCAAACGTTTATCCAATATTCCCACAAAACAAAACAAAAAAATTGAAAACAATAGATAGTATGTACAAAAATACTTATGCAAATGCCCCTAGGAATATTTTTAATAGAAAAAATAATAGGAATCTCATCAGGAGGACATCGCATCATCGTTTTTGAATCATGCACTTGCCACAGACGCTTTCCAGTTCAGCGGTGGTCCACATGTCTTCTTGTTTTCTTGTTGTTTTAGGGGTCAGTGCGTCACTGAGATGAAGTGGTTCTTGCAGGTCTGTGCTTCTCACTGGATCTTGTAACTTGCACTCTCCTCTGTGCTCTGCTGTAAGCCTGAGAGGGCTACAGTAGTACCCCCCCCCCCATGGATCCTTAACTTACCTAAACTTTGGACTCATTTTCAATATTGGCAATGTCCCCATTTCTTTCAGTCTGCTGGGTCTTTACCTGTTTGTCTGGGTTGCTCTTGGTCTCCTGACCCTCCTGCTCAGACTCTGGCAGTCCTTGCTGACTCAGCTTACTGGCCAGAGACCAGGTCAGGGGCAAGCGTGCACGGTTCGTCATATCAGCAAGCTCTTTGGCACTGCAGGTCGGCGTGTCGGTTTCGTAGATGTCGTGGAAGCTGTTGTAGTCGACCTCATAGAAGCCATCCTCCAGAGTCAGGACTGGTGTGAAGCGGTAGCCCCACTTGATCTCACTGCTGACATATGAACTCCTCGCCTGGCAGGTCATTCCTACAAAATAATAACAATAATTCTTAAATTCTGCATACAAGAAGTACAAGAGTAGGAGAATTGAAATCCAATATTATTAAGTATATTAGATAAAAACATATAAAAAGTATTGTGTTGTATTTGTACTTTGTCTTTACTACTGCATGTAATTACTGCTCATTGTGCTGCACACTAAATAGAATGCAGTACAGCCAGTAGTCTTATCAGTGAGGAGTATGACTCAGAGTCCAAGTTCAGGTCAAGTTTAATGAAGCCGCCAGGGATTCAAGTCTGACTCACCAAATGTTTAAGTTAAAAAAAACAAAAAACTTTCACTCTGAGTAATTAATGAGCAAAACCTCATGTATTTTCTCATTATTCATTATGATCATGATTATTAGAGTTGGTTAATGAAAACGAGCGGATGGCTCTACAACAGTGTACACAAAAGTAAAAAATTCTTCAGGTCAGTCCTGTCAAAGCCCTGTAAAGGCCCTAGTCTGAGTGCTGTCTGCTTAAAATGCACCAAAATAAATGAAAATCTACAATTTAATGTATTTTATTATAAAGTTAATTTTTAAAAATAATCGTCAAACAGTGAACTTATCACCATCGTTTACAGCTCAGTGCTCCTTAGGGTTGAAACCTGGAGACAATCGCAGCAGTGTGCCATCGTTTAATGATAATAACAGCAACAACTGTACTAACTGACTGGTTTACAAATTAGAGCAAAAGTCAGTTTGTTTAACTAAAGCTCTACACTGACTGACTGCTGCAGACTGGAGATACTGTACATACAGGTGTCTGTAGTGATTGTATTACAGTACTCAGGTAGATGTGTATAATTATATTCAACCACCACCTGTCAAGGTCATTTGTATGTGTTTTGATATGTGTCAGCGTGGCTCAGCAGTCTGCAGGAGTCGGTCAGGGACCTTCGGCGGAGGCTTCATCACGCAGCAGTTACACAGCATGTCTGAGGGAGTGGGTGAGGGGACACATCACAAAGGAAATCTAATATGGTATAATTTTGTGTAGTGGAACACAAGTTTTTGTTTGTTTTTTTCTAATGAGGGAGGGAGGCAAGAATCAGAAAAACGTGTGACTCCTTTAGCAGGTTTACCTCAATATTGAGGTCTACCATATTCACTTTGTTAGGTTAAGACCCAAACAATAATGAAATTGGAGAAATCAAATTGGTGAAAAAAAATGATGAAAATAAAAAATCTATCTATCTATTTAAATTAAATCTTTCCGACCCCCTGCAGTACCTTCAGGAAACCCCTAGGAGTTATGGACCCCTGGTGAAAACGTGTGGTTTAACACATCTGATGTTGTTGTTACTGTCTGGCCTGCCTGCCTTTCTTTTCTATTTACACTCAGAGGAGCACTCACCTGTGGCTTCCACCATTCCCTCCAGTATCACAACAATTTCCAGCTCCTCCTTGGCCAGGTAAGCTTGTGAAATGTCCCAGAAGGGGCTGTGCTGATTTATCTCATGGCAGATGATGAGCGGCGACACCAGGAAAAGTCTGTCATCTCCTGTGTTGTAGCCCACATTTATGTCCGTCTGGTTTAAAGGGATGAACTCCCCTTCCTTGGTCTGCTTAGACTTGATGAGCTTGGCCCTGATTGACGCCTCGACGATGTGCGAGTTCCGAAGATCTCCCACCCGGAACATCAGGCACAATCGTCCGTCTCTCATGGAGATGACAGCGTTAGTGGAAAACACTAGTGTCTCAGCTCGCTTCTTCGGCTGCGAGATCTTAACAAACATGCACCCCACCATGAAGGCGTTTACTATAGATCCCAGCACCGACTGGATCAAAAGTAGAAGTATTCCCTCAGGGCATTTGTCCGTGATGACTCTATATCCATAACCAATGGTGGTCTCCGTCTCAATGGAGAACAGAAACGCTGATACGAACCCGTTGAGGTTGTTAACACACGGAGTCCACTGATTGTCTGCCAAATGGTCCAGATCACCTCGGAGGTAGGCGATGAGCCACCACATGAAGCCGAAGAACAGCCATGTGACCGTGTAGACCAGCACGAAGATGAAGAGGTTGAACCTCCACTTGAGGTCCACCAGTGTGGTGAATATGTCTGTCAGGTAACGGTACGTCTCCCGAACGTTCCCGTGATGGACGTTGCACTTGCCGTCTTTCTGGACATACCTCTGGATCTTCTTGGACCTGTCCATTTCTGCCAGCTGTTTAGGCAGGTCCTCGCGGGCCTGCTTTGGCAACTTGGGCTGTCTGATGATGGCTGGACTTTCCACATCATGCTCCATGGGCATTCTGAAGATTCAAGCCTGTGGGCCAGAAGACATTGGCAGGTTTAGAGTGACAGTTGTGACAAAATTATTTTTCTATTTCATGGGTCATGCTTCAAATGTAGTCTTGAAAAACACAATTACGTGAGTCAACCTTGACCAACCAGATTCTGCTGTCACAGTCTTCATCAAACCAAACAGAAGTCTGTTAAAAGTAAAATAGTTTTTGCAACAAGTTTTTGATGTGGCCCTATCTGGTTTGGTTCTTCTTTCAGAAACTGAAAGAACATTTAAAATGGTATAGATTTTTCAGCTAAAAAATAAAGCAGGTTGTGACCTGTTACAAGGGACGTGTCCAGTTTTAATTTGCATTATCCACAAAACACAGGCTGTTTTTTTATGCTGAAAACATTGCTGTAAACATGGCAGCTGGGGTGGATTCAAGGTTTTTACAACCAGGATCCAACAAACTGACAACGATATTATTGAGTGTTAACACATTTTCTTTTAGAATTTGAAAAAAATAAAACAGGCCTGTATTTTATTCCGGTGTTTTGACTTTAACAGGACCAAGAGAAATATATATAAATATAGGCATTAGCATTAGTTGTCACAACACACACACACATCAGGAACATTTGACCTGTACGAGTTCTGTACTTGTCAAAGTTGAGACAAATTTAACAGCCTAATGTGAAGTATTCGTGTAGTACTTTTACAATGATTGACAGCATCACAAACAAAATATGCATAAAGATAATATGACAAACCCTCTTCCTCCTACTCCATCACTGTCCACCGTGTTAAACCCATCCACACTGAGGCTGTGTGACGGCGGTGGTCCGCAGCTTCCTCCAAAAATCTGTGCAGTAAAACTAAAGTGGGTGATGACACGTTTTCGTCAAACGTGTCATCACCCACTCTGCCATATGCATGCTACTCTTTGTCACTCAGCCTCCTGCAGTTAAGAGTGGGTTGTTACGCTAAATTGGGGTCCTAATGAATTGTATGTCGTGGGCACCAACAGGAATCTCAAACTGTGTGCTGACCACGTCTGGAAAACAACAACGTTTGTCATCAAGGTTCAAAACAAGAAACGTTCATGTCACACCTGAGCCTCGTCTCTTCACAGACCGTCTGACACGCATGTAGGTCTGAACATTTCTTTCTGCTCTTTTCCCTGGAGCGTTGTTGTGGTCAAATGTTTTAATTGCTTTGATTCCCAACGTGTTCAGACAGGATTTAGGAAAGAGGAAAAATCACAAACCACGATCACAAATTTGCAGACAGCTTCAAAGTGAAGTGACCCTGCGACCCCAATCACACCGCGTTGTTCCATTACACGCAGCTTCTCCTGACGACAAACACACGACACACTGACACAATGCCCTTGACTGTAATGAAACAGGGACGCCCCGTGGAGTGTTTCACACGTAGTCATTGTCACCCTGTCATCCAACAGACACCTCTCTAAAGGTGTAATCGTCTTTGACAGTTTTTTTATGATTTGTCATTCACACCCATCACCCAGGTGGACAGAGGTGATAAAGTGAGACTGGTTCGATTTCCTCTTTCTTGCTACTTCCGAGGGGTTTCTTTGTTATGAGTTACTGCCTTTCTATAACAGCATACAAGTCAACTGCTTAGCTGTGAGGTTGTCGGAAAACCACAGAAACCATTATATCAGCACATGCTATAAATAGAGGACGCTTTGTCCATCTGTTTGAGTTTTTAAACCAAAAAGTTTTATCTCACAAACTTCCAGACTTCCCCTGATAGGTGATGTTGAATTGTAAAAGACAAAAAACTATAGTTTTTTGCAAATCTTAACTTGTAATGTCTGAGCTTTTCAGCCACAACTTCAGTCTCAGGGTTAGGGTTTACACGTGTGAAGGCTGGACACAGACTACTTCTCAGAAATCAGCCTCAAATGAGTACCTAACAGGAGCGTCTTAAGACAAAAACAAACCATCCAGCAGGATTAAGGAGATGATGAAAAGGAAATGAGTGTTGGGGGTGGGGCGGGGTCAGCTCACAGACCAGCTTCAGAAGACACTGACCAAGGTGGGGTATAAAGGTCTACCATGGCACACGAGAATGTAGTTTTTATTTAAACTTAAGCCACAAATTTGTCTGTCAAAATTAGTAGGTAACAGCACAAACCCTTTGTCTATTCTAGTTCATTTTTAGTTATTCTATTTTCACATATAACTCATATTTTCCAGGCGTTTAACCAATAAAGTTAAATTAAATTAAATATATACATATTTATTAACACAAACACACATTTGGTCTATGTCCTACCATTGACTTAAGGTAATAAAAGTTGGTTAGTCGCTAAAAGACTCTGACAAAGTTCCAAGACTTGATCAGTTATTAAATATTAATGGGTATGAGAGACACTTCATTCTAAATAATAAATGATAAAAACTGATTTCAAATATTTGTAGAAATACTCTTTTGTCACGACACAGGTAGGTTTAACATTATGAATAATGTGAAATATAATATAAAGAAACTCTGTCCTGACTCTACTATCTAGGTTGTTCTGTTGTTTGTATTTGCCCCACTGTGCTGCCCCCTGTCCTGAGGTCAGGCCAGATATCCTTCTGTGTGCACAATGCCTAAGCCACCATCAGTGCTTTTACCACTGGAACAAATGGCTGTGCTGAAGCTGTTCAGCTGCTCTCCATTCACAGGGGAATATTATGAGCTTCAGCAGCAATGGTTTCTATGGCAACACACCGCTCGGTCTACCCTGTGCTCACAAT